AGCCACTGGGTGAGATCATCCGTGGTTTCGGGGTGGAGTTTCATCAGTACGCAGATGACACCCAGCTGTACATCTCCACCCCGGACCACCCCAACGATGCCGCGGAAGTGATGTCCCGGTGCCTGGAGGCCGTGCGAGTCTGGATGGGGAGGAACAGGCTTCGTCTCAACCCGTCCAAGACTGAGTGGCTGTGGTTTCCGGCGTCACGTCATAGCCAGTTGGTTCCATCTCTGGCTATCAGGGACGAGTCATTAGCTCCCGCGGAGAGGGCCCGCAACCTGGGCGTCCTCCTGGATGCTCGGCTGTCTTTAGACGATCATGTGACGGCTGTGGCCAGGGGGGCTTTTCATCAGGCTCGCCTGATACGCCAGTTGCGCCCCTTTCTGGATTGGGACACCCTACGCACAGTCACTCAAGCCCTTGTTGTTTCCCGCCTGGACTATTGCAATGCTCTCTACATGGGGCTCCCCTTGAGGTGCACCTGGAGGCTCCAGCTAGTTCAGAATGCGGCTGCGCGGGAGATTTTGGGGGCCTCTAGATGCTCCCATGTAACACCTCTCCTGCGCGAACTGCACTGGCTGCCGGTGGCCTTCCGGGTGCGCTTCAAGGTGTTAGTAACAACTTTTAAAGCGCTCCATGGCAATGGACCTAGGTATTTGCAAGACCGCCTCCTACCAAATATCTCCCTTCGACCAGTCCGCTCCCACAGAGAGGGCCTCCTTAGGGTACCGTCGGCCAGCCAATGCCAGCTGGTGACCCCCAGGGGGAGAGCCTTCTCTGTGGCAGCTCCTGCCCTCTGGAATGACCTGCCCCCCGACCTACGTACAATTGCGGACCTGCGCCTCTTCCGCCAAGCCCTGAAAACTCATCTGTTCCATGCGGCCGGCCTGGCGTAGTTTTGATTGGGTTTTGTTAGGGGTTTTATATTTTAGAGCAGGCTTTTATGTAATGTTTACTGTGATTTTTAGTATCGCCTGTTCACCGCCCTGAGTCCCGTAAGGGAGATAGGGCGGTATATAAATTTAAATAATAAAATAAATAAATAAATAAATAATAAATAATGGATGGGCATTCAACTCTTTTTAGCACATTAGCAAAGGATAATCAACCTCCCATTTAGAAGTATGTCTAGTTTAATGAAGAGAAGGATTAATACCACTTTACAATGCCGTAGTAAGGCCACACTTGGAATACTGCATCCAGTTTTGGTCACCACGATGTAAAAAAGATACTGAGACTCTAGAAAGAGTACAGAGAAGAGCAACAAAGATGATTAGGGGACTGGAGGCTAAAACATATAAGGAACGGTTGCTGGAATTGGGTATATCTAGTTTA